GATAGATAGATAGATAGATAGATAGATAGATAGAAAAAGAAAGAAAGCAAGAAAGAAAGCAAGAAAGAAAGATAGATAGATAGATAGATAGATAGAAAAAGAAAGAAAGCAAGAAAGAAAGCAAGAAAGAAAGAAAGATAGATAGATAGATAGATAGATAGATAGATGATAGATAGATAGATAGAAAAAGAAAGAAAGAAAGATAGATAGATAGATAGAAAGAAAAAGAAAGATAGATAGATAGATAGATAGATAGATAGATAGATAGATAGATAGATAGATAGAAAAAGAAAGAAAGATAGATAGAAAGAAAAAGAAAGAAAGATAGATAGATAGATAGATAGATAGATAGAGAAAGAAAAAGAAAGATAGATAGATAGATAGATAGAAAAAGAAAGAAAGCAAGAAAGAAAGCAAGAAAGAAAGAAAGATAGATAGATAGATAGATAGATAGATGATAGATAGATAGATAGAAAAAGAAAGATAGATAGATAGATAGAAAGAAAAAGAAAGATAGATAGATAGATAGATAGATAGATAGATATAGAAAGAAAAAGAAAGAAAGATAGATAGAAAGAAAAAGAAAGAAAGAAAGATAGATAGATAGATAGATAGAGAAAGAAAGAAAGATAGAAAGAAAGATAGATAGATAGATAGATAGATAGATAAAGAAAGAAAGAAAGAAAGAAAGATAGAAAGAAAGAAAGAAAGAAAGATAGATAGATAGATAGATAAAGAAAGAAAGAAAGAAAGAAAGATAGAAAGAAAGATAGATAGATAGATAGATAGATAGATAGATAGATAGATAGATAGATAGATAGATAGATAGATAGATAGATAGATAGATAGATAGATAGATGTAAAAGAACTACATATGCTGTCCCAGCCTGGAAACTAAAGCAAACTTTCTTCTATTCATGTACAAGTAACAGAATCATTTATATTAGGCTTATCACTCGTGCATCTCCATTTGTGCAAGCGGCGGGCACAAATTGGAGCTGTGCTCACATTCCCGCCACTTCTGCAGCCCAGTTCCAAATAGGCCACAGCCCTGTACTGGGCTGTAGCCCGTGGGGTTGGGGACCCCTGTTTTAAGAGGTGGATATAGGTGCTGTGCTCACACTCCTGTGCATTGGGAAGCACCTTTGGGAAACTGAATCTGAAGTACTGCACAGCCTGAGTGCTTAATTGTGTAAATGTTAGCTTGGAATTCAGAAATGGGGCTTGCCTCTTTGTTACTTGAATTCCCACCGTCAGAAAATGAAACGAGCCACTTATTCACTGCAGAACTGAATATCAACCAGGTTCTAGTGAAGACACTATTTTCCTAAAAACCAAACTATATCCTGCTCCCAAAGGGAAACATGTTAAGTCTTTTTCAATTATTCTATATGTGGATCTGAAACCAGATGGAGTCAGTAAAGAGGAAATATTCATACAGAAGCCTTGAGATTCCCAGGTGAATTTTATCCTGGTAGAAGAGCACACTGATGGAAGCATGGCCACCTAGGGACAGGCAAACTCTGGCTTCGGTGCATGAAAAATCTGTCAGTCACTTTTATTTTGGTTGCCAATGCTCTCATTTTCTCAATTTAAGGATGTTTTGACATTTGTAAGATGCAGCTATGGAGGCGGTCAACAGTATTAAGTATCTGGGGGTGCAGATAACTAACAATCTGAATTGGTCTCTCCACACGTCATCCTTAGTGAAGCGTCGGATGAGGAGAGCACATCTTTCTCCTTCTGTCCTGGCCACTTTTTACAGAGGCACGATTGAGAGCATTTTAACAAACTGCATCCCTGTCTGGTTTGGTGGCAGCAGTGCCTCAGATAGAAAGTCCATACAGAGATTGGTAAGGACAGCCGAGAAGATCGGCAGGAAGCTGGCTTCCTGGTATCCAGGATGCTGCTTATAAGCGCTATGTGCTTAGAGCTCAAAGCATTGCTAGAGACCCCACACACTCACTTTACGGTCTGTTTCTGTTGCTCCCCTCTGGGAGGAGGTTTCGAAGTATTTCTAGCAGGACTACCCGATTCTGTAATAGCTTTGTTCCCTGTGCCATCCGTCTGGTAAACTCTTAAGATTCGTTTTTCTCGCCATGCACATGTATACATAATCCAAACTAGACTGTTGTTTCTCTGTGTCATATATGTGGGTATATGCATAATTCTGTATTTATTCATTTATTTTTGTCATATTTATGTAGTGTATATTGGAAGTGGTGACCCTTTGAGAGCTGTATCAACGATTAGTGTACATTCGACGTGACAATAAAGTTCTATTCTATTCTATTCTATTCATTTTCCCAAAAGAATGGCATACTTGGGGCACAGAGAATCCTTGCTTTAACTAGGACATATGGCTCTCATAATGATTTGGGAGCACACCGTGTCTTTGAAAGGAGCATTGATTATCAGCAGCATAATGCTCACTCATCAGTGTCAGGCTCTCTGACCTGTTGACCTATTGAGTTGCAAAAAAGTTCCTGGGAAAATCAAGCCAAGGGAAGATCAGAAATGACAGATGATCCAGGCTGAGCACAGACAACAAACTTTGCAACACCAGCTTAGCTGATTTGTTATCCTCTTTCACAGGCTGATGAAGATGCAAGAGAGCATGCACCCGGGCACAGCCCTCAAGCTGATAACCTCGTGCCATGTCCGCTGTGCGAACTCAGATTCCCAGCTTCAGAAATTGAGCTACATGCTATGAATTGTAATGGCACTGGAGTGGACGCAGTTGAAGATGGTCCAGGTTTGCTGCTTTCTCTGATTTGCAACTATGCTTCAGTTCTGGCCGACCCCCTGCATCTGTTTGCAATTATGATATTAGTTAGGAAAATCCATTGGGGGACAACTTCCATACACTTCTGTATAGTTTATCCAGTGCTCAGAACTGTATGTAGCTTCTAGACCTAACACCTTAGTCCATAATTTAGTCTCCATTATTTGTTAATGCAACCTCTCATTTTCGTGTTATGAAGTGAGGTCCAAGCTTTTTGATCTTAACTAGCCCCTGTTCTCATCCCTAACGTGCTTCTCTTTCCAGGTCTACTAAGTTATTTACCAGTGAGAAATCCTGTCCTTAGCAGTGGCTAACATTGCTGCATATGCTGCTGGATTAAAAGAGTTAACTTTGCAAACAGCTCTTGCTAGGCATTGATTTTTAGTAAGTGAATGTCGGCCTGATATGACAAATATCCTAAATATTTAACCTGCGCAGTTGTATATGTATGATACGCAGAAAAAAAAATATTCATTGTATTTAGACATCTTATTTAGCAGCAGGAATGGTGCCTTAGGCTCTTTCCACATATAGGGATAGTACCAAGCTTAAATGGATATTGCCTTCCTGTGTCCCAACAATGTTGTAGGGCTTACATGAGATTGAGAAGCTGAGTTGATTAGCAATTAACTAAGCTTAATTCCTATTTCAGAAAAACATTGCAAAGATAGTTTTGTGGTGTTTCCTCTGGAGCTGCAGAACAGGTGACTTCCAATTAGTAGGAATTCTCACATCCCAGAGCCAAAACGCTGTAGATGCTATCCCCTCCCATTATTCTTTAAAAACAACAAGAGAGATCTGTTGCTCTCCTTGCCTCCTATCATTATTGTTTTTCCCATTACTGTATAAGCAACAGGAATGAGAACAAAGAGATAAGTGGCTATAGAAATTGGATGGATGGATGGCAGACATATTGGTTGGAGCATCAGTATTTCTGCCCTCCCATTAGTCAGGTGATTGGTCTGTCATTCCTTCCCCTTCCCCATCTACCTAGTCCCAGGGAACAGCAGTGTTGGACTTGGAATTCAAAGTATAGAATTCCAAATGTTCCCCTGATGTTTTTGTGATCTGATTACTATAGTATCAATTCAGTTTTCTCTACAGATGGATTGATTATAGTTCATAAAGGACACCAAATTAACTAGAATCACTAATGCAGAGTCTGGCCTCCCCTTTAGTAAGGGAGAGATAAGACACCTGATTTCTAGCAAAGACAATACTGTAAATATATCATAAGATAGGAAGAAGGTATCACCAATTTGCATTTTAATGGTATGATTAATATAATGGCATAGTTCTTTTAATTAACCTTGTCATGCCACTAACCATGTCATGTCAAGCTGCAGTACATTATAGGTAGGCATTATTACAGCTCTAAAATTACTACTCTCCTACTCTCAAATATGAACAAGTTGATTTAGCCCTTCAGAAATCTTTCTCTATTGAATTAGAAATTATAAAAATCAAATGTTATGAATTTGAGCAATTAAAAAAAAAATAGTTTCCTTGTCTCTGACTATTTGTTGTCAATAGTTGCCTAAATCTTTTCATGCTGTAGGGAGGACTAATATTTCTATAATGAATGACAATTTTTTTCTAACTTCTAACAAGGACTTGTGTATTTTTAAGAAGTGTTCTTGTGTTATATGTTCCCCAATATGCCCTGTGTTGTCTCCCTGTTTGTACCATAGTGTTGTATACTAAGTATACAATTATTTCAATTATTTTATTTACTTACATGTATATACCTCTGTGTATAATTAGCCGTAACATACACTCACTGCTGTACATGTAGTGGCCTGTGCAGCATATTATTAGGACAGTAGTACAACCTGAATTATGGACAGAGATTCTATTTCCAATATGGAGAAAGTCTTTGCTTTCGCTTTGTTTCCATTGGTTGGTTAGCTATTTGCATTTATAAATATGATAGTTTCTAAAAACAGTTGCTGTGATACTAATGGGAAGAAATATGAAGAAAAGAATGTAATTATCCAGTCATAAGATATTTTTTTGTAGTTTAATGTTTTGGAAATGGTAGAAGTAAGGCAAAATATAATGCCTTATATTTATTATTTGCTTTTTAAATGCATAATATAAAAAAAACAGAATACAATAAAAGCTATCCTTTACTTTGTATATAAACTCACAAACATCTTCCCTCCACTTAATATTTTACCTTGCTTGAATGTATGGCTAAAATGGCTCTCAGATAAAATTTTCTATACCTTCCCTAAAACTAGCTTTTTACTATTTTTTTCCATAGCCCCCTTAACGCCTTCACATGGCGTCTGCAATACTGAAACTGCAGTATGGCAAATCAAAATCATAATCGAATCCTCAGGGATTTAGTGCTTCTCATGATCTCTGGATCAATGATTTGATTTAGATCAGACTTGCATCTGCAAAATTTGTTAAGACCTTTTGATATTTTCCTTTTGAAGCAACCTTCTAAAAGTTGATATAACTATCTGAAGCTAGCGGAGTCAAGTTTGCCGGATGTTATTTTGAAAATTCTCTATTTCACATCCCCCATATTTGACCAGTTGCTTCTGAATAGTCTTTATATTTGGCTGCTCTGCAATCAGGGCAGCAGCACTGTGAAAGAAAATCAAAACTTTGAACCATCCTTCTCCTTAGTCTGTTCCAAGAAGGCTACTGTACTTCCTGAGCGTTGACTTGGGGGGGTCAATGATTCAATTTGGGGAGTTCTTAATTGGTTTTCCTGTGGAGGTCTCTGATACTATAAACTCTACCATCTTTCAGTGTTTTTCATTACAAAATAACCTCTGTGACTTGTCCATCTATTGTTCTGTAACTGCCTCCTGTAAATGCCTTGGCTGTTATTTGAGTTCGTAATTTAAAGAAGCTGCATCAGCTTGGAGGATACAGAAGACAATTTCACCCGAGGTATGGTTACATGGCTTTTTGTGTTCAGGCAATTACTGTGGTTGAAAATACACATACACACACACTTGCAGCTTTTAGCTAAGCTGGTCTTTCACTTTGGCAAACCTGCCTGAAATCTTTTAAGGAAGTGTGCAGAATGCCTTTTACCACTGTTGTAATTGTCAAGACTGGAGGGATGCTGATATGCGAGGATGTGTCATTGGATAACATAACTTATATATGGACAAGCTGTGGCTCAGATGGAGTCGCCTGAACAGAAGTCTCCAGTTGGATCCCTCTCAGCCATTTCTGACACAGACATGCCATGCAGTAGTATCAAGTTTAGCCTTTGGAAGAAAAGTTGTAAGGGGAGATATGATCGCTGTTAACTGCAAGAACTGCATGCAGAAGAAGGGCAAGATCTATTTTCTGTCACTTCACGGAGTGGAACACAGAATAATACACTGAAGTTGCAGGAAGGCAGATTCTGGTTGCAGTTCAGGAAAAAAGATCTTAAGAGTAAGAACAGTTTTGACAGTGAAACCAATTACCTAGAGAGGTAGTGGCTTCAATTCTTTGACTATGTTTAGGTAGAGGATGGGCAACTAGCTATTAGGGATGCTTTAGTTTGGATTCCTGTAGTGAGCAACATATTGGACTAAGTGGTCCTTTTCTTTTTTTTTCTTTTTTCTTTTTTTATAAAAAGTTTTTTATTTATAATACAATTAAAACAAAAATGGACATACGTGGCATTCCAGAGTAAATATTCCTAACAATTTGTTTCTCGTGATACAAAAAACTTAATACATCATCCTTAACCTCTATATAAACCTCATTCTTCTACACAATACAATTATATATACAATTATATGTACAATTATATGTATGTTTCAATCCTATCGTTAGCTTAAGATCCGAGCGGTTCTCCTTGATTCATACCAGCGATAAAATTTGTCCCAGATTTCGAAATATTCCAGTTCTGTCTTATCTTTCNGTTGGAATTCCCTTATTCCTCCAATTTTGAGCATAAACCAATCTGGAAGCCGTTAGAATGTGTAGCATCAAATAGAGTATGCCTTTGTCATACTTCTGCGTTGTTATACCTAATAGGAAAAATTCTGGTTTTAACTCTACCACTCGCTCTAGTATTTCTTCCAACCATTCTTTAACCTTAGTCCAAAAATCACAAGCTCACGGGCACTCCCACCACATATGATAGTATGTTCCAATTGAGTGGTCCTTTTCCATTCCATGATCCTAATAGGAAGAAAGGGGGCTTCGGGCAACAGAAGGCTGTCAGAGCCTCCTGCATACCTGTTTTGGTTGGCACTTCCTTGGTAGGTTACCATTGTAACTCAGATAGGGAGACCCCTGGATTTCTTTGCTAGATACCTGCTAATTACATAATGCAAGTCTCTTTTATGGATCCGTCTTCTGCTTCTCTTTGTTCTGCTCTCTAGGTATTTCCAGGATGTTAATCAAAGATTAACAATGAATTGTCTTCCGCTCCATAAGGAGTCAATTTCCAACTTTGTTGAAGAGAAGTAGTGTCACAGCGTTGCAGAATGCATCTGGGGTTGAGACAGGATGCCATTTTTACCCTCCTTGCAGCCACACCTCAGGTGCAAGGTGTCCGTCTTCCTTTCCCTTAGCTCTCCTCCTGCCGGTGCTGTTTTTAAAAAAGCTTCAACATCAAGAGAAGTGACACTGATGTAGCATTTTAAGGCCAACATAGCAAGAAATAATACCATTGATAGGTATTTTTAAAAATAGCAAGGCTGATTAAAAAATATGTGTGTATTTAATACTGAGGGATGTAATGATTGTGGGATGGGGTCTTGTATCAACACAGTGGGAGGCCTGCTGCAAAGGAAACCAACTTAGAGTCATTTATCTCATTTAGGGATTTTCCCCCACAGTATTTATAAAAAATTTAAATACCTGCTATTTTCTCTTCTGGTAATATATGGAATATGATGCAAAATTGAAAAGATCTACTTTGCAAAAGGATACTAGTACATCGAAAAAATACTCCAAGATTTACAGGCTGAGGAGCTAATATGTCAGTATGAGGGACTTTC